ATCATTTGTGATACAGCAACAAAGAAAGCAAAAGCACTGGGAATAATTAAGAAGAAAAATACTTTATTCGTGGCTGAAGTAAAGGGTCACATTGATGAAAAATACATTAATGATTACATAAACTTTTTACCGATAATAAGAAACTTAGATATTATCACAGATGAAAAAACAATTGGCAGTTTTATGTATAATTACATGAAATCAAACAATCTACCAGTTGACCAGAAACAGAGAAAATTAACTCAGTTAGCATCAACACACAACCAATATCAACCATTTTCTTCTTATTATCTTTGGTATCTAATAGACAGATTTCATTTTATCATTGATGACATTCAATCAATTTTAACATTTACGAAAAACACTTGTTTTAATGAATTTGCGAACGAATTTATGAATGAAAGACAAAAGGCTGAATTAGAAGGAAATAAAGGAAAAAGTTTATTTTGCAAGATTTCACTTAATGGATCATATGGTTACGATGCAATGAATACACAAAATTACGCAAAGACTAAAATAATGAATGCACAGAAGGCACGCGTTGCATGTATGTCAAATAAGTTTAAAAACATAAGAGAAATAGGTGAAGATACGTATCAAGTGATGCTTAAAGATAGATTTTATAGATGTGATACATGTTTACAAGAGGCATTCTTCACTTTAGATAACGCAAAATACTGGTATTTGGTTTTCATTTATGATTTTATGTATAAATGCATGAATGTTAATCGTTTTCATTTCATTGAAGGTGATACTGATTCATCTTATTGGGCAATCGCTGGCGACCCAAATCTTCCTAACACTCAAGCATTTCAAGCAATTGTAACCGATAAAAAATTTTATGATAAAAACATTTACAAATTCGCACCTTTTGATTTCTTCTGTTTTGATGAGAAATTTAAACCTAAATTAAAGAATAAAGCTGAAGAAAAAGCACATGAGAAGAAGTTATTGGGTTTAGCAATTGAGAAACAAGGTGATAACATGGTTGCTTTATGCCCTAAGTGTTATACTTCATTCAACGGTTCAATTGATGGAAGTGATTTTAAAAAGATTGCACAAAAAATGAAGGGTGTTAGTTTACGACAAAATAAACAATTAACACCTAAAAATTATTTGGATATAATAAATGATAAAGTTATTTTCGATGGTCAGAATATTAATTTACAACTTAAAAACGGGTCAATGACTCGCTTAACAATCGGTAAGACTGCATTAACAGGAGCACACACTAAGGCTGTATGTTGTGAAAATGGATGTTGTATGCCATTTATTTAATGAAATGCCACAGAAGAGACAAAAGGAACCGTTAATAATGGTTTTGTACTATGATTCAAAGAGGTGGGCACCCTTAAAACATTTATTTTATTTTTATATAAATGGATAACACAGATTTAAAAATTTTAATTGATGATTTAGTACTTAATCAAAATTTTCTTAATTATTATGAATTAAAATCATATCTCCAAAAACATAATAACAATATAACGGGCGATGATATGGAATATTATTATCCATATTATAAAAATGCAGTTTTGAAATATCATGATAAAATAATTTCTAAAATTAAAGACAAAATTAAAAATAATGAATATACAAAGGAAAAAACTAAATCACAACTTAAACAGTTGAAAGATTTCAAAAATAAAGTATTAACAGAAGAAGATATTGATGAATTATATAATTTATATAATCCTGAGCCGCAAAAGCAAAAGGAGCAAAAACAAAAGGTGCAAAACACCCAGGTCCTTCAGACCATAAATGATGCACAAGCTTTAATTTATGATTCATTAGTTAAACCATATTCAGCCCGACTTTTAAATGAAGATCAACTTTTGGAATTCATCCTTCAACATAAACTCGAAGCGGGAAAGTATATTAAACCTTTATATACAGCATATTTAAAACAAATGAATAGAATACATCCAGAATTAATGAAGGAAGGAATGAATTCCAAAACTTCATCATCCAAAATCAAAGCAGATAAAATTAAACCAAAACCTCCAACGACAGTACCACCTCCTCCTTCAGTTAATCCTTCATCATTCACTTTATTATATCCATTTCAAACATTAAAGAAACAAAAAGATTTTAAAAAGGATTTCAAGATATTAAATAAACCAATTGACCCAAAAATTCAACCGTTAAAGGAAAAATTTGGTCGCCCTTCATTTGCACCATATCCATATTCATACGAAATCGATCATTTAGAATATTCAAGAGAAAACGTTACTTATTTATTTGCCATTAACATTAACACCAGATATTTATATTGCATTCCGGTGAAAGGGAAAACAGAACAGGAAACAAGAAGAGCTATTCAATACTTACTAGATCATGAAAGAGTAGATAATATAAGGGGTGATGGTGATAAAGGATTTCAGGCAGCTATGGCTCATTATTTCCCACAAATTAATTTTTACTTCTCATCCTCTCCATATACATTTCATAATAAAATAGTTGATGCGGTAATGAGAACTCTTAGAGATGCGTTAGGGGTTAACGGTCAGATATACTGGGATGGAAATCATGACTCCATCATACAACAGTTAGTATATTATTACAATAATACATGGCATAGAACAATAAACATGAAACCGGTGGAAATGAAAAATGATATTTCAAAAGAATGGGAATATATTAGAAAGCAAATGGAAAGGTTAAATGATGTTAAACGTGAACAAATTAATTCAGGGCTCATGAATTTTAAACAAGGGGATAAAGTTTTGATTCATCTCGATTATGGAAAAACTGATAAATCAATGATAAAAAGAAGACGAAAATTTGACACAATAGCTGAATTTGTTAGATATATTAACGGCAATGCATTAGTTGAAGTTGACAATAAATTAATAGAAATTCCGATTTATTTTATTACTCCATTATATTTAAATAATATTTAATTTTTTTTATTTCGTAAGAAATGAGTGACAACGAAGCATCCAAGAGTCCAGACAATGAATATAAAAAGAAACTAAACAGAATTAAATCAAAAATATGTATTACAAAAAAGAAGTCACAATGCGGTGAGGTTGAAACGATAAAGAGAGGAAAGAAATAATCGAAAAATTAGAAACTTACCGTTCAATCCTTAAACTGAGTGAAGCAAAAATAAAAGAATTTAATAGAATAAATAAATTGATTGGAAGAGATGAATTTAATAAAGATGAATTTTTAAACTCTATCCAAATTTAATTTTTATTCCTCTTCGACAACATCTCTCTTTCCATCATTACTGCATAACCACATTTTCTCAATTTTAGTGGTTTGTTATTTTTAACATGTTCTTGCATCATTTTTATCATTTCCTCCCTTGTTATGATTCGTGGTAAATTTTGAGCTTGTGGGGTATTCATTTATGATAAAAATAAAAATTTGTTATCACTTATTTTATCGTTAAGTGACTCAAAGAGTCCGGAGACAAAGTCTCATGTTTTTAGGTTATTCAATAATTAATTATTTTTGAAGAACCGAAGGTGCTACCATGCTACCATGTGCTACCAGGTCATTTAACTTCTCTGAAAAAGTGTGACAACACGACATTTTGACAACACAGGAGGAAGGTAGTTATGAATTATTTTTGAAGAACCGAAGGTGCTACCATGCTACCATGTTGACAACACGACATTTTGACAACAACACAGGAGGAAGGTAGTTATGAATTATTTTTGAATAACCGAAGGTGCTACCATGCTACCATGTGCTACCAGGTCATTTAACTTCTCTGAAAAAGTGTGACAACACGACATTTTGACAACACAGCAGGATTAATGCAAAAATAAATTCCAATCATACTTTATAAAGCTAGACCTTCAGGTCTCGCCGCTTCGGTCTGAAAGACCTTCAGGACTCAAAGAGTCCGTTAGCGGCTCATTTACAGGTATTTCATCGTCAGTAAATGATTCCTCATTATCGTTTGGTTCAACCTGTTTATATAATCCTTTCATTTCTTCTTTCAAAACATAATACCATGTTTGTTTACCGTCTATTCTTCTATGTTTCCTATCACATTTATCCTTAATACTCATTTGAAAGTTTTTGTCTTTCATGACTGATGGTTTGCAGAATAGAGCATTTTCACACGTCATACCTGCACACAATTCATCATAATGTGTATTTATCCATACATCTAAAGGATTTGATGATAATTCAATTAAATCTTGTTTGGCTTCAGTCATCGGTATGATTCGTACATTAAATGATGAAAGGTCATATTGCATAAAATACGTCAGTAAATTATCATAAAATTCCTTAGTGCATGAATCCATTAAATTCTTGAAGTAATCAAATTGACCCTTGAATTTACCATTAACTCTTAAAACTACGTATCTTCTGTCTCCAACTTCAATTTTGACAGGGTAGACGTTGTTAGTTACGAAAATGAAGTTTGCAACGTTCTGAGCTGTTCTTCTGGGTTGATTCTTTTCATTAATTCTTATCTCATTATCCGTAATAATTGATTTCAAAGCGTTGAAGTTTGCGAGTCTGTCTTCACCCACATTCTTGAGTTCATTAAGTACAAGAAACATTTTATTTTCAACTACTGAATTGAAATTACCCGTTAGCTCACCTATTTCGGTAATGTTTTTACATGAATAACCTGCGAGAAGTTCAGAAATAATGTCTGTAAATCTGTTTTTACCTGTTCCCTGAAGTCCTTTCAAAATAATTGCTGTTTCATTCTTGATTCCAGGATGTTGAATCATTGATGCAATCCAGCCGAGAAGGTATTTATACACTTCATCGTTATTATCACAAATGGCTTCTTTAATGAAATTCATAAACATCTCAATTTTTGAGTAATCTGGTTTTTCGAGAACGTTGTATTTATAACCTTGAAACGTTGAGAAAACATCTGGGGAATCAGATTTAAAGCAAACACCCTTAACGGTTAATGAAGACAATTGATTTAGTAGTACATCCCATGCTGTTATGGTTTTACCTTCTTCTTTAAATAATTTAATCATTTTGAGTGACTCTTTCATGTTTGACTGAAGAACAAATGATATTTGATTCATTTTATCGTGTATGTTGTAATCTTTCTGAATGAAATATTTGTTTCCACAATCTACAAAACGGATTACACGTGATAAATCCTCAATTACTTCAGAACTGTTTTTATACTGATGATTTTCAGCCTTGCGTCTAATATCTGTTATCAAAAACGAGTCATCAAGTTTGATATCAAATGTTATTTTTGGCTTACGTAATAAAGGTAAAACATATTCATCATAATATTCCTTTTGATATAGTTTTAGAATCTTCACTAAAACAAATGGAGAAGTCATTAAATGTGCATATCTACTACGTGCTTTTTCAAAATTACTTTTAGCATTTTCTGTTAAACTGCAGAAGTTATAAACGTTATCGTATGCTTCATTAATCAAATGATTAGGTAACGAATTAATAGCTTGAAACAGTGTGAATAATGTTATTTCTTTTTCTAAATTCATGTTTCCACCGTCATTATGTACTTCAAAATCACAGATGCCATCAACTATGCTCTGGGCAAGTTTATCGTCAATGTTTACATCTTTGTTTTCATTCATTATACTCTTTATTTCTTCGTTCTTCTGTTCAACTCTTACCTTAATATTCAAATCATTTAATATATCATTCACTGTTCTGGTTAATGTTGAATCATAACTTCCACGAATGAATGAGTATGTTTTGATTGGTTCTGTTGCATTCTTGCGAACTCTTGAATCAGCCATAACCACTAATGAACGTTTTGAATCATCCATTGAAGTCATTATGTCAATATCATAATCATTGCAAGAATAGCATTTAATCATTCTGTTCGAAACTGCATAGAAGAAATTAGTGTTGCAATAAATGTGAAGACCTCCTGAAGCGGTTTTAACGATAACATCTTTATCCGAAAGTTTTGATAAAATGTCTTTTCTAACTGTTTCTTTAAGTTCATCATTGTACGATTTATTGATATCAACATCTATAATCGTTAAATTTGAAATTTTATTTACTAATAAAGCCATACCAGTTTTCCTTCCTCTTCCTCCATCATGTTTGAGGTAGTTATGTAAATCAATCTTGTTTTCACCAATTCTTTCGTTGAGGGTTTTAGTTTCTGCCACAACTAATTCCTCAGCTAATGAATCAATAACTTTTTCATCAGAAACGATATAGTTGCTGTTGTTGTTTGTTGCTGTCATTTATATAGGAATAAAAAATAAAAATAATTCATAACTACCTTTATTTTTCTGTCTTAAGGAAATTCATGAAAATTCATGGTTCAAAACTGAATATCATATAACCTCTTGAAAACGTTTAAACGAACTTGAACTTTCTTTCCTTCAGTATCCGTCAAAGTAACATATGCAATTCCTGATTTTAGGAAACAAACATGCATTTTTCTATAGTTAACTCCTGTATAGTAATAGAATGCGTCCTCATTCTCAACATAGTAGTAGAACTCTAAGTCATGCTTTCCATAAGAGTTTATTTCAATTGCTTCGTCAGATATTTCATCAACGAACTCATAAACTATATCACCATACTTGCTTTTATTTCTATTGTTTTCAGATCTAGAACACCAACGAAGGTTTGAGATTCTGTTGTCGTCTCTTTGATGGTTTATATGGTCCACACACGGTAAATTGTTCGGATTGGAAATAAAATGAGTAGCTATGAGAACATGTTTTTGGTACTTTTTGAGGTTTAATGTTACACAAATATAACCTATTCCTCTGTTATATTCATGTATAATTCTCTTGGTTTCTTTCTTCCTTATTTCAAAAGGCTCAGAACAGTGAATTTCATACTCTTCATCTTGTAAACATTCTTTCCATACATCTTGACCAACAAGTTCAGCGTACATCTGTCTTTACATACAAAATAAAATATATTTTTTTAAAAAACTAAAATATATGTTTATTTCGGGAAAATTCATGACAAAAACATTTACGAAGAAGAAGTCATGACAAAACATATGCGATGAAGAAGTCATGACAAAACATTTACGATGAAGAAGTTTATTTCCTGAACTGTTGTCAAAATGTCGTGTTGTCAGTAATTTTCAGAGAAGTTAAATGACCTGGTAGCACATGGTAGCATGGTAGCACCTTCGGTTCTTCAATAATAATTCATAACTACCTTCCTCCTGAACTGTTGTCAAAATGTCGTGTTGTCAGTAATTTTCAGAGAAGTTAAATGACCTGGTAGCACATGGTAGCATGGTAGCACCTTCGGTTCTTCAATAATAATTCATAACTACCTTCCTCCTGAACTGTTGTCAAAATGTCGTGTTGTCAGTAATTTTCAGAGAAGTTAAATGACCTGGTAGCACATGGTAGCATGGTAGCACCTTCGGTTCTTCAATAATAATTCATAACTACCTTCCTCCTGAACTGTTGTCAAAATGTCGTGTTGTCAGTAATTTTCAGAGAAGTTAAATGACCTGGTAGCACATGGTAGCATGGTAGCACCTTCGGTTCTTCAATAATAATTCATAACTACCTTCCTCCTGAACTGTTGTCAAAATGTCGTGTTGTCAGTAATTTTCAGAGAAGTTAAATGACCTGGTAGCACATGGTAGCATGGTAGCACCTTCGGTTCTTCAATAATAATTCATAACTACCTTCCTCCTGAACTGTTGTCAAAATGTCGTGTTGTCAGTAATTTTCAGAGAAGTTAAATGACCTGGTAGCACATGGTAGCATGGTAGCACCTTCGGTTCTTCAATAATAATTCATAACTACCTTCCTCCTGAACTGTTGTCAAAATGTCGTGTTGTCAGTAATTTTCAGAGAAGTTAAATGACCTGGTAGCACATGGTAGCATGGTAGCACCTTCGGTTCTTCAATAATAATTCATAACTACCTTCCTCCTGAACTGTTGTCAAAATGTCGTGTTGTCAGTAATTTTCAGAGAAGTTAAATGACCTGGTAGCACATGGTAGCATGGTAGCACCTTCGGTTCTTCAATAATAATTCATAACTACCTTCCTCCTGAACTGTTGTCAAAATGTCGTGTTGTCAGTAATTTTCAGAGAAGTTAAATGACCTGGTAGCACATGGTAGCATGGTAGCACCTTCGGTTCTTCAATAATAATTCATAACTACCTTCCTCCTGAACTGTTGTCAAAATGTCGTGTTGTCAGTAATTTTCAGAGAAGTTAAATGACCTGGTAGCACATGGTAGCATGGTAGCACCTTCGGTTCTTCAATAATAATTCATAACTACCTTCCTCCTGAACTGTTGTCAAAATGTCGTGTTGTCAGTAATTTTCAGAGAAGTTAAATGACCTGGTAGCACATGGTAGCATGGTAGCACCTTCGGTTCTTCAATAATAATTCATAACTACCTTCCTCCTGAACTGTTGTCAAAATGTCGTGTTGTCAACATGGTAACATGGTAGCACCTTCGGTTCTTCAATAATTAATTATTTTTGAATAACTGGGAAATAAATTTACGTCAAATATGCAATTTATAAAATCTTATGTCGACAGGCTACGTAGCACAGTGGTCTAAGGTGGTGTTATGGAGGGGTTAGGGTCTGTGGTTCGAACCGCGACGGCGCCGTATTTTCTTATTTTCTTTGTTTGTCTTGTTTGTCGTGAATAAAAAGTATCATAAAAGTGGAAGAAGGGTTTTGCTATTTTTTCTCAGCCGAAATCAATGATTTTTTCATTTTTGGAATCCTTAGCGAATGAGGAATCTTTTCTCTCGTGGAAGCTTTGACCAAAAATAAATGGTTCATTTACTCACAATATTTTTGTACAAAACAACCCCAAACTTTTAACTTCTTTTCTGCAGCTTCAAATGCTATCTTAGCGAGTTCATATTCTCTAAATTCTCTCTTTAAATCTTCTTGTTCCCATTGGTCTAGTTCGTATGGAGAATCTCTATAACCATAACATATCTCACGTTCATGTTCTAATTGTTTTTCGCACATTTTTCCAACTTCTTCTTCAAACAAAGGTTTAGCATTTTCTACTGTATCTTCGAGTTCTTCTTCATCTAACTTCTCATGAACTTTCTTGTCTATGGAGTCCATAATTTTTCCAACTGCTATGCAATATTTTGGAGAAGCCCACATTGCTATATAGTTTATAAGTCTTGGGTCTACATACGTTCCTCTAACCCGTTTGATTTCATCAGGAATTCCGGCATGAATTTTGTATAAAAAGCAACCGTCTGAATTCCGGCGGTTGCTATATTCTTCACAAAATGCCTTATAATACTCTTCCCAGGACTTATTTTCCAACAACTTTCTAAAGTCTTTCCTAAACTGCTGACACATATTTGTTGCATTAATGTAACCATCCTTGTCTCTACGTAAGACTTCAATACCATTATAAGTGCCTTTTGTGAATGTTTCACCATTAGATTTGTTCGTGAACGTCTGTGCTTCGACCGACATTACTGTTCTTACATACAAAATAAAAAATAAATAAAAATAATTTTAAAACTAATGAAATTAATTATTTTTTGACTGAATTCATTCATAACACCATTAATAAGCTCATAAAATGCTCGTTTTGAGGTTGAGCCACTTTTGGCTCGACCGTATTCTTTCATCCAAAACTCAATAAACAATTATTGAATAACCCAAAACCATTGACGATAAAATATATTTCTGCAGTTCATCCATTACTTCATTACCTAATTAATTACAAACATAAAATATATTTAGTTCATTCGGTAAGCCCAGACCTTTGGGTCAAGCACATTCATTGAACTCTATACCATGCGAATACAGTCATAAATGGTGGCATGTAATCTTTACTTTGTCCCGTTGTTTGTGTATATCCTGAAACGCGATGTGTATGGTTTCCTTCTCCCTGAGTGTCACTCCAGTAACAATTTATGGCAAATTTAACATCATCTTTAACATCATATCCTTTACCTTTTGTCATTCCTGACCAATCCCAATATCTATGCTTATGCCAACCTGCTTGAGATGTGCTTAAATCTATGTAGTGACTGTGTGCAGGTAAATTTTCACCCGTAATTGTTTTACTTCCCCCTGTTTCCTTTGAAGAGTTTGCACAATACAAAAACCTGTCGACTATTTGTTCCCATGCACCAACACCAAACATTGCTTGAGGACCTCTCACATCCATAGATGTATAAATAGAACCTACTGGGTTCATTAAATCAAACATATGAGATATTATAGGATTGTCTCTTTTGAACTTAAAATATAGTCTTATATACGAAAAAAAGAGATCTGACATTGTGTCAGATCTCAGTAAAAGTGACATTTACATGTCAAAAAAATAGAATGAGTTTAAGTAATTAAAATTGAGGGTGAGAGTAGTATTGTATGAAATAATATCTCTCACCCTCCAATTCATCCTATGGCGCCGAAAAAATTTTGGTGAAATGCGACCACATTTCACCAAAATTTCTCGGCGCCATATAGAGAACTAGAGCCTGTGAGGTACTGATACTATCCATGTACCTCGCAGGCTCTAGTTCCAAGCCAAAATGGCTAAAAATTGCCCGCAATTGTTCACATTGCGGGCAATTTTTAGCCATTTTGGCTGGGAATTGGAGGGTGAGAGTAGTATTGTATGAAATAATATCTCTCACCCTCCAATTCATCCTATGGCGCCGAAAAAATTTTGGTGAAATGCGACCACATTTCACCAAAATTTCTCGGCGCCATATAGAGAACTAGAGCCTGTGAGGTACTGATACTATCCATGTACCTCGCAGGCTCTAGTTCCAAGCCAAAATGGCTAAAAATTGCCCGCAATTGTTCACATTGCGGGCAATTTTTAGCCATTTTGGCTGGGAATTGGAGGGTGAGAGTAGTATTGTATGAAATAATATCTCTCACCCTCCAATTCATCCTATGGCGCCGAAAAAATTTTGGTGAAATGCGACCACATTTCACCAAAATTTCTCGGCGCCATATAGAGAACTAGAGCCTGTGAGGTACTGATACTATCCATGTACCTCGCAGGCTCTAGTTCCAAGCCAAAATGGCTAAAAATTGCCCGCAATTGTTCACATTGCGGGCAATTTT